ATATATATATATATATATATATATATATATACCACACACACACTTTTTTCCTGCATGTGAATAGAAAAACTTCTGGAAGGATATAAAAATGGGTGGGATGTTAAGAGAAGTAGTTCCCTCCCCCAATTCAATGTACATTATTGATTTGTAAAGTTACCTATATTATAATCTTGCCTCCAGCCTAAAAGTAGGGATATACTATGAGGTATAGTAGCCCCCCACTGCATCAGTTTTGCTTTCCATGGTTTTGGTTACCTTCCGTTAAGTGCAGTCTGAAAGCAGATGCTCCTCCTTCTGATACATCACCAGAAGGTTAACAGTAGCATAACACTGTATCATAATGCCTAGTTCAATCACCCCCCCAATCTCATCATGTAGACATTTTATCATCCCATATCATCGCAATCGCAAGAAGGGTGAATGCAGCACAGTAAGAAATTCTGAGAGACCACATCACATAATGTTTATTATGGTATACTGTTATAATTGCTCTACTTTATCACTAATGTTGTTAATATCTATGGTACCTAATTTATACATTAAACTTTATTGGAGGTATGTATGTGTTAGAAAAAACAGTACATACAGGGTTTGGTACTATCTGTGATTTCAGGCCCCCCGGGGGGGAGGGGAGGTTTTAGAACATATCCCCCTGCAGATAATAGGGACTACCGCAATCTGAGAGCTGTGAAGACCTTGGGCTCTCTTACTGTTGGGAGATCTGGGTTCCAAAATTAAGTGTGCCGTTAGTACTAGCCATGTTAATTAGCCAACCTTGGGTAAGTTTCTCTTTTTGCAGTTTCCTTACCAACCTAAGGCTGTTGTAAAGATTAAATGGGATATGCACATGCCAAGTCTTTGCCCTAGTACTGGGCATACTGGACACTCTAAAGGAACTGTTACAGGAAACTAAACGGGAAAGAGGAATTAACATTATTTAACCAAGTGAATTACATAGTCTGGGCTGATGATTCATGTCTTTAACTGGTTCATCAGTTACTAGAAATCTCAACACTCTGAATTGCAGCAGTGGTTCTTAACTAGGGGCAATTTTGTTTCCCAGGGGACAATGGGCAATTTCTGGAGACACTGTTGGTTGTCACAACTGTGTGTGGGGTGGGGTGCTGCTGGTATCTATGAGTAGTCAGGGGCGCTGCTCAACATCCTACAATGTACATGACAGCCACCACAACAAAGAATTATGTGGCAAAATGTCAACAGTGCCGAGGTTGAGAAACCCTGAACTAGAGCAGTGAAGCTTTAAAAACCAGAACACCAACAAGAACAAAACACAGGTCTCAGTCCCTCATCTCACTAGACTGTAGCCCAGAATGCCAGTTCAATAGATGATAGGGATTTGCAGCCAAGGCTAAAAACTAACAGGAGATTTTACAACACTTCTTTTGTAAGTTTAAGTATGAAAGAAAAAGCAATTTATCCTATTTTACACTGATCCTTGATGATAAACTAACGCATGCAAATTATCATGAAAAGTAAGTTTATGTTAAGAAAACAGGAAAAGCTTGTGGCCAATGTTCCTATTTCATAATGTCAAATAAAACGTATGGCCTTTTGAGAAATGACAGTTTGAGGTAAGAAGTCTTTAAGAAATAGAGTGAGTATCAGATAAAAACAGGTCCACCAGGAAAATGCAAACCAAAACCACAATAAGATAAGCACATCTACGAGGATAGTTATAATAAAAAGGTGAACAAAAGTTGGCAAGCATATGGAGAAACTGGGACTCTTTAAAGACAGTGCTGGTAAGAAAGTTAAATGGTGGGGCCACTTTGGAAAACAGCCTAGTAGTTCCTCAAAAGGTTAAACAAAGAGTTATCACATGACCAGTAATCCCACTCCTGTACCTGCAAAAGAAGTGAAACATATGTCCACACACAAACTTTATGTAAATGTTCGTAGCATCATCACAACAGCTAAAAGGGAGAAACAAAACGTCCATCAACTGACCAATGGATAAATAACATGTGGTATATCCATATAATGGGATTATTTTTCCACATTATAAAGAAATGAAGTATGGACGCATACCAGACCACGGACAAACACTGAAAACATGCTAAGTGAAAGATCAGTCATGATATGATTCCATTTATAGGCAACACCCAGAATAGGCAAATCCAGAGACAGAATAGAGACTGGTAGGAGTTTTGGGCTGGGGGACTGGAAGAAAATGGGGAGTGACTGCTAGTGAGAACAGGGTTTCTTCTTGGGGTGATGAAAGTGTTCCAAAATTTACTGTGGTGATGGTTGCATAACTGTGAATATATGAAAAACCACCGAATTATACTCTTTCATGAGGGCATTGTACAATATATGAACTAGTTCTCAATGAAGTTGCTACCAAAGCAACTTTTCTTTTTGACTTACTTAGATTCCAGTCAGAAATTGTATCATCATCATCAATTTCATCGTCGTCATCATCTTCCTCTTCAATTCCATCTTCATCATGCTGCTGAGCCACTGTCCTTGATCGATGAAAACGTGGCCTTATATCCTGTTCACTATCAGGAATTGTTTCATCTTCTTCAACATCACCCTGTTTTGTTTTTTTAAAGAAAAATCTTGATGATATTCAAATATCATTATAAGCTAATATATACATGAGTAAAAGAATCAGAATATTGAGAGATGATGCCATGTACATGGTTTTGAAGTAACCCCCACACCTCTTTATTAAGAACCACTCCCCTCTGCAGAAAATAATTCTTTGTTGAGGAGAGAAAAAACTATCATATAACACATGTTAGGTTCAGGCCCTTTTAAATGCATTACACTATCTCCCATCAGCTGGAATAATCCAGAGTACTTGAATAAAATTCAGACCATATTTAATATATTTTAAATTAAACTACAAATAACTTGAATCAACAGGAAATTTATGCTAACTCTACCAGTGTCACCATCTGGTTCCAGTGAAGTTAGAGTACATTAGCACCCAAATTCATTGTTGGCTTCTATCTTTGAACTCTGCAGCATATAATATATAAGAAGAAACATACTCACACAGCGTCTATTTTAAATAAATATGCTATTAGTCAGATTCAAAGACTCTAAAGTCAATAAAAAACGTTGCCTATTCATCAGAAAACAGTTTCCTTACCTTAAGTAGGATAATATCTATATCTGAGTACTTCATGCCATTCACTAATACAGGAATCAATCTATAAAGAAATAAATTCATGAAACAAAGATCTAAAAATCTTGTAAGAATTATTAAGAAGTCTTAATGATTTTACATATACTAGAAATACCACAGAGACAACCACCACTGCTAATCTGGTCTTGGAGCATATTCTGTGATGTCTGCTCTTCTCAAATGATGAGTACTCCTAATACATATCCCAGGCCCCTTACATACTCATGCATGGGATCTACCAGATGGAATCTTATCAAAAATAAGGTAGACTGTCAATAGTGGTTAGAAAAAAACTAGTAACAAAAAATTTAGTAATTTCTCCCATAAGAATTTATCTTGAACATCCTAAGAAACACTCCCAATTCTAAAAGACTTAGGTTTCTTGATGAAGTAACAAAATTGCAAAAAATCTGAATGTCTGTCATTTAGGGCTTGGTTAAAAATAAACTACAGTAAAGTTAAAAATGAAACAAAAACGTGTAAAACACATTTAGTATGGTTCCAATGGAGTTAGAACAGTGAGATTACCCATGTAATTACTTGTATAAACAGACTATCTAGGAAGAATATACAAAAGAAACTGGTATTTTTGGAGAGAACTAAATAGGCTAAAAAGGGATAAAATTAATCATTTACTTTATTTCTAAATAGTGTGACATTTTTACAATTAGCCTACATTCAGTATTTGTACTTTTAATAAAAGAGACGATGGTGTTTAAATATATATTAAATCTAAAGTAATTTATTCAAAAGAAATAATGAAAGAGCTCTACCAATAAGGTTATTATAGCCTTCAATAAAGAAGTTAGGAAATTTTAATTTCTTAAGAAATTAAGAACTTAAATTTCCAATAAGAAAATGCTTAAATCAGGATATCATATCTAATCTGAAGCATTAATCATTAAAACAGAACCAAGATGTCTGTAAACATGGAATCCCAGGTATTGTGGAAAAGTTGGAAAAAAAATTTACCAAAACACATAAAAGGTCAAAATACTAACTTCAGTTCCTTTTGTAGCTATGAGAATTTTAAGCTTTGACCAGTTTCTTAAGTTTTGATGATTTCCTTTCTCACTGGCCCATGACACACTTAGAAGTCTGAGGATAAAGGTTTTGAGAAAACTTGAGAAACATTTAAGTCCACAGTTATAGGGGCACCTAGGTGGCTCAGTCAGCTGAGTGTCCGACTCTTGGATTTAGGCTCAGGTCATGATCTCAGGGTCAGCAGATAAAGCCCCACCTAGACCAGGCTCAGCACTCAACAGGGAGTCTGCTTGGGATTCTTTTTCTCTGCACCGACCCCCCGCCCCACCGTTGGCATGTTCTCTTTTTCTCTCAAAATAAATGAATAAAATCTGAAAAAACAAAAAAAAAAAGTCCACAGTTCTCTGCTTCTGAATTCTACCTTTAATTGTTCTGAGTGGCTTGGGAAATGTGAACAGCCAAAAGAAATTCATACTCATGACTACCAGCTGTGGGTTTATTAATAAGCACTTTCCTTATAATTTAGTGAGAAATATATTATGATCTTCATTTTACAGATGAGTCAACTGAGGCTCAGAGAGGTCACATTATTTCCACAAGGTCATTAATTTTAAGTAATGGGAGAGTGAGTCAGAATTCAAAATCAGCTTGGCCTGACTCCAAAAAATAATTTTCCTTCCCCACACCAGATATAAGAAACTCTCATCTCTACATTCATGTGTTAGGCCTTTGTAGAGGCCTTACTTCAAAGAGTTAAAGCCTTTAATGTCAATTAAATAAATACGTGCAAAACCAATTTTGAGTACAACTCTACCATCAATGAGATAAGTTTGTAAACACTTGTTAACTAAAAGAATAGTAAACAGGAAAAAGGAGTGGGATTTAAAATTCCTAAATAGATATAAAAAATGTGGGACAGCCACACTTTCACGTTGAAAGTCCTTCTAAATTCAAATACAGATTAATAGTAATTTAACATTATAGCTAAAACACACAACTATATCAAATTTATAATAAATAACACTCTATTTTACAAGCTACAGGCATTTTGCAGCAGAGTCAGATCCATTTCAATCACCAACAATTAAATCATTTATCATCTCTGTCAGTAATTTGGGGGAAACAGTGAAGACAGATGGCAGGCTATAAAATATTGCAGTTACTATGAGGTAAAGTAAAGAAGTAAAGACAGTGAGACCTGTCTATTCTAAGATGGAAAAAATTATAAAGTTACGGAGAAAGAAGAGAAAGTTCAAAGAGAGAATATAGCTATTTGATGGAGTGAGGTGCCTGAAGAAAAAAATTATGCTATCCAAGACCATCAGCTGAAACACTGGTTAGGTAAAAGACAACTCACATGAAAATCTATCTTTAAGTTTTGGGGTAAGATGAAGGGTCACTTATTTTCCCTATAAAGCAGAAGTGCTCAGAATGAAAGAAGAGAATTCAGAAGAGCAATAATGGGTTTGAATAGTTGCTCTAGTGAATGGAAGATAAATGGTGATCTGGAACAAGAAAAACTAGCAGCATGAAGGGTCCACTTGACACTGAAAACCACAGATTTCTATAGCCATCAATCCTCCTGGTGGTGGACTTTTCCCAACAGCCTAAGACGCAAAGACAGTTTATTAGTCCAAAGCAGGGGAGATGCAGGGTAGCTGGACGTTTATGGTCAATAGAGTTGATTTGTGGATCACTGATGTCTGTGCCAGAGAAAAGAAAGAAAGAAAAGATGTGCAGGAAATAAGGGACTGATAAAGATGGGTAAGAAAATGAAGTTGGCAAGTGAGATACAGGGATTAACTGTGACCACGTAGCAACACGGCATGTGTCTAATGAATCTTGTATGGCAGATCATTATTTTTAGGTCTAATTGAAAAGGAGCTTTCTCCTAAAGCCTCATGTAGCCAATGAAAAAAGAATTTTTTCCCCTTTCTTTTTAAAAGTTAAGCTCTACGCCCACATGGGGCTTGAAGTCATGATCCTTAGATCAAGAGTAGCATGTTCTACCAACTGAGCCAGGGAAGGCGCCCCAATAAAAAGAGAAATTTTTTAAAAAAGCTTTTATTTTTATTTATTTCAGAAAGAGCAAGAGCTGTCACAGAGGACAGGGAGAGGGAGAAGCAGACTCCTTGTTGAGCAAAGATCCCAAATGCAGGCTCGATCCCAGGACCCTGCAATCATGACCTGAGCCATGAGCCAAAGGCAGATGATTAACTGAGCCACCCAGGGGCCCGCAAAAAGATTTGAGAGAGAGAATGCGAGTGGGCATGAACAGGGGGAGGGGCAGAAGGAGAGGGAGAAGCGGACTCCCTGCTGAGCGGGGAGGCTGACACGGCTCAATTCCAGGGTCCCAGGATCATAACCTGAGCCAAAGGCAGACGCCTTATCGACTGAGCCACCTGGGTGCCCCTGAAAATTTCCACATCTTAATGTTCTTCCATGAGGCTGTATTACTTTATTTTCAAAAAAAGGTTAAGCATTACTTCTTCTAAAAGTAAATGATTTTAATACATGTAATCAAATCATTATGTTGTACACCTAAAACCAATACAATGTTTCATGTCAATTATATCTCAATAAAATTGGAAAGAAATATTTTTAAAAACCTGATAAAATAGCATTCATTGAGTTAAAAATAGGCTTAGTAACACGCTAACCAAAAATTGAATAGCATCACAACTACTGGAAAATCAGTTTTGGGAAGAAAAAACCCCATCAGAGTCTAGAGTCAAACTGAAATGATTAAAAAAAAAAAGAACCATGCCATGAATTATCCAAAATTAAGATTATGATTTAGAATAAACCATCTGTAATTAAAAAAAACCCCAAAAAACAACTGCTTCCTGAAAAATCTCTTTAGTTACAACCTATGGTTATGCCAAGTAAAAGTAAGTCTGACTTCTTTAGAACTTCATTCCCTGATGGCAGAATGCAACATAAAAATGTAAAAATGAGGAATCATTGTTAAATTTAGGAACAAGGTAGCATTCAAAAGAAGGAACACTTACTTAGGAAGATGCCTTACGAGTACATCTTTGCATATGGGTTGCTCAGCCAAAGTGAGCCAGAATTCACAGGCTTCTAAAGCCACATTTTCATCTTGATCTTGCGTCCTCTGTAGCATGTACTGAAAACAAAGAAGCATTAATATTAATCAGTTTAAATCACAAAATTAGAATAAACCTAATCCTTTCTCAGCAAGTTAAAGGTCCTCTGCTATCGCCTTGAACTCTACAGTGATTCTCAGCCTCAGTTTTGGATTTTTTAAGAAAAGTTTCCGAGTCAATTCTAAAATGCAGCCAAACTTAAGAACAACTGCTTTAGAATGCTGCTTAATGAAAAGTGTTCCAACTATATATGGTGTATCTGCTTCTGGATAGGCGTGTTTTCTTTTATGAAACCACTGAGATTTTACTTTTTTTAAATTTTTATTCTTTTAAAGATTTTATTTATTTGACAGAGAAAGACACAGCGAGAGAGGGAACATAAGCAGGGGGAGCGGGAGAGGAAGAAGCAGGCTCCCCACTGAGCACGGATCCCCCTTGGATCATGACCGGAGCCGAAGGCAGACGCTTAATGACTGAGCCACCCGGGCACCCCGAAACCACTGAGATTTTAAACATGTATTAATAAACAGTTTTCTTAGAAACATCAAAAAAGTCCATTATACCTTTCATTAAAAAAATGAAGGATCTTTTTATAACAATTATTCAACCTGTCTCTTGTATGTATTTTCACATATGTAAAGTGATATATACATATTATACAATTACAAAACTTAATTTTTTTATATTTGGAAGTAGGGACATTTCTTAATGCAACTATAGTCTGTAGTCTCCAACATGCCAAGCCAAATTCACTCTTAATTGTAGGAACATCTGATCTGAAATTCAAAGGCAGTGTCTTCCCCTCTTTAAAAAACCTTCACGTGCAAAAACAAAATAAATACAATCAAAGGTATGCATATGATTTCCCAGTGTACCTGGGCCTGGAAATGGGGTCAAGTGTTGGATGAAGCCTCTGTACATATCCTCTTCTAGACTGAAACATCTCACATGGCAAAATATGGCAGCACAAGAGTTGTGATAGGCCAACCCCTATTACATTCCACACCATGTCCTACTACCATGCTGAGTATCGCTAAATATCTGAAGCATTTTAAATTAGCGCCCCCCCCGCCCCGTGACATGGCCCCAGGAAATGATAAAATATCTTTAACTTTCTGGTTAGCTCCAACTTTCACTAAACCTTCAACCAACTCGACCTGATTCTTCTAAGCACTTCAGAGAGAACAGATTCATCAGATAAAATGTCACTTATTCCCATCTAATGCTGCTACATACCTTTACAACTATATTTCCTTATGTTTTAGAAAAGGAGTTGCTATACACTATAGATGCTAGCCTTTTGCTAATAGGTCTTAGACCCCATCCTTTAAAAAAAGATCTTCCCTCTCCACACCATATAAATCTCTGGAGGTGAAAAGGAGAATCTAAATAATGTATTATTTAATACACTTGGAAAGCTCTATATACTACTCACGTACTATGATCCAGTAATATGAAAATTAGGTGGTACAGTCTGCAGCTAGCAGGACTGTGTATTGCCCAAACAAGTTATTTTGTTCTACTAATAATTTTATCTTGTTACTATGTATTACTTCCTTTAAATATGGTTAACCAATGATCAATGTACTCAGAATTTCCTAGTAAAATTATTTTAATTGCATAGGGATTTGAAAGTGTTTTAAAATCTAAATGGTTTGCTCGAACTAACTATACAATTACGTATTTTCTACTCAGAAATTTCACTGCTACCATAAATCGTAAGTGGATCAGATCAGCTTTACCAATAATGGGTGGAAAACAAACACTTATAATTCCAAACTCCAATGACACAAGAATGTGCCACTTAACCTACCACAGTTCTAGTTATCATTTAGCCTAACACATATCTAGTGAACACAAATAATTTAAATATTTTAGTTATTCGTATTAAAAGCTAGCTATTCCTTTAAATAACTTTCCCCCTCTAAAAACATCTTAAATCTCATGAAAGAAAAGTCACCATAAAGAGAACTACAATTTTAAGATAATCATGAACTGTTTTTCATAGTTCACTCCCAACAATGTGTTATACAAATTTAACATTATACATTTTGTTCCCAAGATCTTTCTTGGGCGAAAAAGGAGGAGAGCGCTTTTAAGTCACCCGTGTTACCTCAACTATGTTATGCATGTGAGGAAGCAGGCGATCCATTCGAACTTCAAGCAACATCACAAGTGCCCGGCACACATTTTTCCGTACCTCTGGTTCTTCATCACCAGCCAATGCAAAGAGGTTCTATTGCATGAGAAACACTTTTTTCTAGTTAAGCATTCCAATATACTGGAAAGGTTTATACATAATAACCAGTCATCTGTAAGTTAGTAACATTTAAAGAAACCCTAAGAAGATAAGGTACAAATAAAGACTGAATTGAATAACAGGCCTGCAATATTAGGTCACGAATAAATTAATTAAATATAGGATGACAAATGACAAAAAGTATGATTTTGATAAATAATCTAAAGCCATTCTTTTGGCTCAGGTCATCCACATCATGGGTGTGAGATCAAGCCCCACGTTGGGCTCTGCACTCAGCAATGAGAGTCTGTCTGAGTCTCTCCCCACCACGCCCCCCAACCCAGGCTCACTCTCTAAAAATAAATAAATCTTAAAAAAAAAAATAGCTGGAGTGAAAAGGCTATTTAAGTCTCATTTAATGAACACTGAAAATAAAAGTGAAGTGTTTAAGGAACTTTAACAACTTGTACACAATTGCTGTTATTAAGTGATAGTAGTTCTGAAAAAGAATTCTCTTGCTTTGAGCTCGTGGCCAGAAAATTATGCTTGACTTTTTGCTTTTACCAAAAAGGTAAAAGGGCCTTTAGAAATGCTTCCAGAGATTTAAGAGTCAAATTTCCCCCGACACCTCTAATTCTACAATGGAAACCAATGGAAAATGAAGCACCAGCCTTTTATTAGTCTGTGCCTTCAGATTCTTAATAAAGAGTAAGTTTAAGGTTAATCTTAAGTTTAAGATTATTCAGACTCAATGTTTTATGTTTCAACTACTGCAAATGAACTGGGAGACTCAATTTACATTTGGAATTTGAATAGTATTCAAATAAAAAATTTCTAGTTATTAAACATCCACAAACATAATAATCGATGTTTGTACCATAAGTAAAAAAATCAGTTTAATAGAGGAAAAATGCTTTTATTTTCAGTTAACAAAAATCACCAAGTCTACACTGTATCCAATTTTAATACTATGAGAAATAATATAACATTTTCTAACTTTCCCAAAAGCAAAAGGGGGAGGGGGAGAGACAAATCTTACCTCAATAAAAGAATCAATGTGCAACATCAGAGCTTGAGTCCTACTGATGATAAACTGATTGACACATGCAACAGCATGAGACCTAGAAATAAAATTTAAAATTTAACACATACTCACTACAGCTTTTTTCTATTTACAGAAGACTGACAAGAACTTAACTATTCCTCCATAAAATAATTATGGTGTATGTACAACCATAACTGTATGTGTTTATACATACATATATATGTATATACACATACACACCCTGAAAAACATGAGTTAAATTTCTTTGTATATTTAACACAGAATATGAGTGATATTACACTAAATACACAGGTTCCAGAGCATTAAGTTAGTACTTCTCTTCAAGTGTAAAGTGTTGGAAAGGACATGTGCACATTTTTAATAGTGTACACCTCTGAAGAGTGGGAAGGTAGATAGAGGCATAATGGAAATCTGTTTTGTATACCTACAGATTTTAAAATAATGGCTATTTATTCCTTTTAAAACTAAAAATGAGGAGAAGTCTATAGTCTTTGTGTTCAGACATAGCCAATTCAACTCCACAGCAATTCCTAATGGCACTACCTTTAAAGCCAATCACTTCTTCCCCAGTCCAAACCATAATTTCCTATCAGGATTACTCCAACAGGCTCTAACTGGTTTTCTGACTTCCACTATACCAAATCCCACTACAACCTTTTAGACACAGATGAGTAACATCACATTATACCCTTGTACAGACTGCTCCAAAAACACAATCTACTTTTCCTACAGAAGATCAAGTGGTAAATATTATAAGACCTCTGCAGCAGCTTCATTCTCCATCCCCCAAACACAGCCTTTTAAAGTGTAAAATCATTCTTGGCTCATGTTATGGGCTGAATTTGGCCTCATGGGTCACAGTTTGCTGACTACCGGCCTAGACATTCCACTATAGTGTGGTTACTCCTACTTTCCTAACTTCATTTCTTACTGTGCTACAAAGTTTTCTTCTTTTGTCACTGTAAAAGGCTTGTCCCTAACTCCAGGACCTTTATACTTTCTGTTCCCTGTCTTATATGTCCTTCTCCCTGACCTTTCAAAGATTTGCTACTTTACTTTGTGCAGGGTCTCTGCACAAATGTTACCTTTACAAAAAACCTTCTATATACAATACCCGTGAATTACTGTCTAACCCCTATTCTCATTATTTTTCCACAGCACTCATCATGAAATTATTTTGTTTGTCCTGTCTCCCTCTTCTGATAACCCAAGAGAAAAAGGACAAAAGAAAAAGGTACTACAAACAGCCAATAAACCTGTAACAAGATGTTCAACATGACTAATGACAGAGGTAAACTATCAAATTCATAATGAAACACAATTTTTTATCTATTTGACTGGCAAAAATTAAAATACATGACAATACTAAATGCTGTGTACCCAGAGAATCTTATGCTTTGTTAATAGAGTATAAATTGATGCAACTACCCCGGAAAACTTTGGTGTTCTTTCCTTGTTATTTGCCTCATGTCCCAGAAATTCCCCCCCAAAGATTTTATGTCTTTCTAGAGAAACTCTTGTAAATAGACAAACGGAGACAAGCAAATAAATGTTTTCAGCTGCACTAACCACAACAGCAAATACCTGGAAGCCACCCAAAAGCTGGCGGGGGTGGGGGGAAGGAACATGAATAAACTGTGTAATCACGATGCCAAGTACTATACAATAGCCAAAACAAATGAGCTATAATGACAAAATATGGATGAATCTTAGCAACATAATATTAAATTTAAAAAGCTGCCAAAGATTAAATTCATGAAATACTTTTTATGAAGTTAAAAGCAAAGACATACACACACAGACATGCATTTTACATATATATGCAATACATTTATTTTTTAGGGGCACTTGGGTGGCTCAGTCGGTTAAGCATCTGCCTTCGCCTCAGGTGATGATCCCAGAGTCCTGGGATGGAGCCCCACGTTGGGCGCCCTGCTCAGTAGGGAGCCTGCTTCTCCCTCTGCCTGCCGCTCCCCCTGCTTGTGCTCCTTCTCTCTCTGACAAATAAATAAAATCTTTAAAAAAAAATTATTTTTTAACAATGCAAGAGAAGGAAAAGTTGGGATTAAATGTGGGTTGTCATCAAGACCTTAGCTTTTGTTTTAGGTGGTAGATTTGAGTGATTATTAAAAATAATAAGTAACTGAAGACAAAATGGGGGGCGCCTGGGTGGCTCAGATGGTTAAGCGTCTGCCTTCGGCTCAGGTCATGATCTCAGGGTCCTGGGATCGAGCCCCACATCGGGCTCCGTGCTTGGCAGGGAGCCTGCTTCTCTCTCTCCCTCTACTGTTTCCCCTGCTTGTGCGCTCTCGCTCTGTCAAATAAATAAATAAAATCTTAATAAATAAATAAATAAATAAATAAGAAATGGAAGTGGGCCATGATGAGAACGTCATGAGCTAAAAATCATAACCCAACTTTGTGTACCTCTGGTAGGATTTAAAAAATAAAATGGCTCTAATTTTTCAATTGCTTAGTCATGTGATGGATAAAACTACATTCCTTTGCCTCATTCTATATTCTCAAAGTTCAACAGTTATTGAGATGGAAAAACATTTTTAAGAGTACATAGGAAATATCAGTTAAGCTGTATAAATAAGATATTAAATAAAAATGTAGAATAAAATCCTATAAAGATGGAGTTTAGTATACTGCTAAAATATACAGCAGATACATTTATCCAAATATACATTAAAATGGAGAAAAATGTTTAATAGTACGTAGAATAGATTCTCAAATGGGTAATAATGAACATTCATTGAATGGAAACATTTCTGTATTACTAAACTCTACCTAGTTAAGTTTAAACAAATGACCAGCTACAAAAATGTATTAAAATTACGAAAAACTTTTATGTCTAGAAATGGACATAATTGCCAGGAATATGTTTTTTGGATTTTTCTGTTTTTCTTTTACTTGCTAAGAATTGGACACAAAAAAGTGAGTTTCTGAGAATTAACAGGCAAATTACAACAATTTCTTTCATCACCTTAGTTCAAAGATTAAAAGACAACTTCCTAGGGAACATGAACTCTATCTAGTTAACTATTTAGGGATGAGTAGCATTGTATTTTGAAAATGTTACTACTTATTTGCATGACACTACCCTAAATGAGCATCTATTGAAAGTTTCCTCTCTGAGAACAACACTGCATTAAGTACCACTTAAGATGAAAAGTAAAACTAATCGAGATAAAAGAAAAAGAACTAAATACAGAATTTAAGCAAGAAAAAGATGCCTGATTACCCTCTGGTCACACTGTTTAAACCATAATCCTCTGAATACAGCTTGGAATCTTGGAGTAAGCTCTAAAGGACATCTAAACTAACAGTTATAGCATATGCATTAAAGTTCATGCTGTTGGATGGATATCCTTAAATAACCACATCTAGGATCCTGCATAACTTCTACTTTATATAGTAATATGGTTTTTGATCATTCTACATAAAAACACGAAGCACTGACAACTGGAAACAACAAAAAATCAAAAAAACTAACAATCACAACAGCAATGACTTTTCCACAGTAACAATAAACAAAAGACAAGTTAGATTAAAACATGTAATTGGAGAAGAGGGAAAAAAAAGTACAGCAGTTTGGCGGAACTTCTGGTGTAGTTACAGACAGGAATCTTACATACTTAAATAGTGTGAAAGCATCATGATAATTATAGCTTGATAGGACAACAGAAGATAAATCAGTCAAAAGTTAATTTAATATTTAAATATAATATTTCAACAACTATATGCTAGGCACTGTTCAAGAAACTAGGGATATACGGGAAAACAAAGCAAGCCAAGGTTAACTTCTGGCCAAGCAGGCCTACTGATTTCAAAGTGTACTTATAAATCCTTCCACCTTCATGCTCAAAACGTTTTTAATTAGATGCAAAACTCTTAATCTAAAATTACTAAATAATCCAGATGTCATATAGGAGGAATTTTTACCACACACCTGCAAATGAAGGTACATGTAACTTGGCAAGATCCATAAATTAAAACAAAAACTCCAAAACATAATGAATTTTCAGCCCTACACAAAGGACCTTAAAAGCATGCCTGTTAATCACTACAAATGTAATTAGCCATAGAGAAGTTAAAGAACTATCCTGTTCAATTACAATTTCATCAGAAAAAGTTAACAGTTCATAGGTTTTGCTATTAAAAGAAGTAAATTTCAACTACTGAAGTTCACCTTTGTGGAACATCAGTATCTTTTACCAATCACAAAAATATTAGGTAATGCAAAATAAGAGAGTGGTCAGGCTTAGAGTTTATGAATTAATTTAATATTGGCTACACAGATACCTTATTTTTGGACTACTGTGCTTGAAGAACTGTAAAAATTTGGGAATCATGATGTTAAGAGGACGATCTAACACATCACTATCTAAAATCTCAGCAGAATCTTCACAGATCTTCTGAAGGGCGCCAAATGCTCCCTGTGAAAGACATTTATATTATTAGAATTAATTAAAAATGAAGCCATTTTAAAAGCAAATTGAGGAATATTGACTAATTTGTATGCATTAATGTTCTCAGCCCACATAAAATACTGCCTCGTAAAATCCACAAATTTAGTCAACAACTTTAAGAGAGAAATCACCATGCCACTAAGTTATCTAAAATCTCAGTCCAAATATAATGGTACGTTTTTATCTTAGCATTTAATAACTTAAAATTAGAGAATATTCTGGTTGGCAGAGACTGCAATAAAAAGCTAACTTCTCTCTAAATATTCTTGTTAATTTTAAGTCAGAAAGAAGTCTTAACATCATTTAAAAATTATGTATATGTAAACCATTCACTGGATAATGACAAATTCGGTTAAAAGGGCAGAAAATTCAAACTAGCAACTATTTCCCTATAACCATTTTTACACCAAAGGGGCCAACCTAGAGCTCCTACACACAATAACCTGCTAATTACCTCAAACATCTAATTTACTGCTTATAATTCCATCAGCAGCAGAAACCTGGTGCCTATTTCCATGGTGCAGTTAAATTGAAGAATACTTTCTCTTTAAAATGTGACTTATATAGAAGCTCCATAATTCCATGATTACTGCAGTTTTAATTTTTTATTTTTGGTTAAGTGCTTGTTTTAAAATTCTGATCTCCTGGGGCACCTGGGTGGCTGAGTCATTGGGCGTCTGCCTTCAGCTCGGGTCATGATCCCGGGGTCCTGGGACTGAGCCCCGCATTGGGCTCTGTGCTCGGCGAGAAGCCTGCTTCTCCCTCACCCACTCCCCCTGCTTGTGTTCCTGCTCTCGCTATCTCTCTCTGTCAAATAAATAAATAAAATCTTAAAAAAAAAAAATTCTGATCTCCTTTCATATTACCACTATACCAAAGCACAATTTAAACTTTAATCAACTCTTACTCAGTGGTTGAGTACTAGTATTATTTTAGTTTTTCTGTAATCTTAATGTATTTCTAAGGTGTTATTAGAAAATGTATATATGAGAAAGATTATTTTTTTTAGGGAGGGAGAAGCGTAACTTTAAAGACCCCTTTGCTCACTCCCTCTCTCCAGTCCCGCCTTTCTCTCTTCAGATCTGGCAACAAACTGCCTTTTTTGTTAGGTTATTCCTTTAAAGACGCAAAATACCTAAAATGGTTTCCATTCAAAACAGATGTCTACACAAACTGATAAAGTACTGATAAATAGTGAGAAATCCATAGACTCCTTTTCCCACATGGAAAGCTTGCTACTGATCAGTGGCAAACAGGAGATAATTACTACATGATTAAAGCTAGATTACATATACTTTAGCCATGTCACAAAATAAGAGGCACAGAAACAATTCAGAGAAGGCAAAAAAGTGCTCATGGTTGGTAAATTTAAGCCTATCTTCGAAAAATACCACATTAATGGATTAACTGATTATACTTCCTTGTAGTAATTATAGTAAAGAAGCTTTATAACTTAACAGTCCTTATAGAAACTGTAAGATAAATATTTGGTCACTAATGTAAAATAAGAGGGTAACTTGAAGATTTCAAGTTTTTGAAGTTGTAAGTTTCAGAGAAGTTATTTTTTCCAAAAGTTACAAATCCACAACATGACAAGAAAAAGAGAGAAGAAAATGTAAGAAGCAAATTTCTTTACTTCACAAGTGTTGTAATCTTCAGAATCCAATAGGCTACAGAGTTTCGGTAGGAGGTCAGGCCAATTCTGCAATTCTCCTTTGGAGGCTATGGTTGTAATCAAAATACCTTAAAAGAAAACACATATATTTAGGAAGTCTGACTGCATTATGTTAGATATTGCCACGTGAATGCACACATGCACACACATTCATTTAAATGGCCCACATCAGCCCAAGACCTCCAAACTACATAAACAGTAACATTCACCAAGGACCCCCTTTTCACCACAACACATCTGTAGAAAAACCATAGCATAAATTGGAGGTTTCTAATCTTGTTTTCCAATACTTTACCCTCTTTTGTACTTTTAACAATTATTTGTACAAAAAGTCTATACAACTTGCGCTTTTCCAACAATAACAAGAACAGTTCCACTCATTAAAATTATAGTTGACCCTTGAACAATGTGGGGGGGATGAGTGCTGGCCCCCCAGTCGAAAATCGACATGTAACTGCTTACTCCTCAAAACTTAATAGCCTATTGCTAACTGGAAGCCTCAATGGTAACATAGTTGATTAACAAATTTTGTGTTATGACATTATTTTATATGGTTTTTACAATAAAGCTAGAGAAAAGAAAATGTTATTAAAATCATAATGCAAATACATTTATTGTACCTACTGAAAAATCAATTCCACACATAAGCAGACCCACGCAGTTCAAATCTGTATTGTTCAAGGGTCCAATGTGTTCCTCCTTTACAGAAATTGTACACAGAAGAGTAGAAAGACAATATACCAAAACATGAGCAGTGCTTATCACTGGGTGATGAGTATGAGTCTGTTAGTTTTTCACAAAAATACATAAAGCAAAAATCAGCTCTCTGATCTAAGCTAAGATGGATCACAGCCATGGACCATGGTAGGGAGAATGAAAGTAGATGAGCCATCAATGGGTAATAATTCATGTGTGCAACAATCCCTCTGGTATGGAAAGACCCACACACTCCTCCACCAGTTCCCACCACTACAGGATCAAGGATGAATCACTAGCAAGGTGATCTTGGATTTTGGAGGCTGAGGGTCACATGCTCACTGATCACGTCACTCTGACTGGATTGTTTCAACGTGTTGTGTAGTTTAGTTGTGACAGTGAATGAATTTGCAAATATACAAATACATAACAGAAGTTTTGTGTTAATGTTTCCCTCTGCCTTAACAATTTAACATGAATAACATTCTTCGTTTGATGATTACAGACCTTTTAGTACCATAATTAAGGTTTGTATAAACTCTGACAGTGGGCAAATTACATGTACTCTAAATTTCAAAATACTAATTTGTAAAAGTGAAAAAAAAGGTGTTCTCTTGTTATTATGAGAATTCAGTGACATATGCAAACAAAATCCCTGCCTGGCATACAATAATCAATGATTACTACTAAACAGCAAATTCTATTTGTTTGGGTATATAAATTGTCTTTACGGTTTTGAGAGGGTTGCTCCCAGTGGCAAAAAGAGCTAAAAAATGTAAAGTTGTTGGCCAATATGCACTCTGCACTAAAAACAGAACAAAACAAAGCCTAAATTATATGGTAAGAGTCAATGGATTGATAGCATTTTTAAGATATAACCCTTAAAAGTCTTCTAGTAAGATCAAAAAGCATCAAGGCTGCTCCTTGCCAATTATTCTTTCATAAAGTTAAAATTTGTAAGAATTGAGGGTGAAAGCAAGCTCTGGATCTGCCTAAAGAAAACTAAATATATCTTAAAACAAGCAGTAACAAAAATTAAATGCCAAGCTACAACTTGGCACCAACAGACAACTGACATTCATTACTTGTGCTAGAAGAGCATTAGAGAATGTTGATCGACCAACAAATTCAAATTTAACTGGACCGTATAATTTCATCCACTCCCCCAAAAATCTTTTCCCCATATTACATAAACACACATAAAGGATAGTCACTAAAATAATAAAATTACAAACCAACCATATACTTTTTTTTAAAAAAGATTTTATTTATTTATTTGACAGAGAGAGACACAGTGAGAGAGGGAAAACAAGCAGGGGGAGTGGGAAAGGGAGAAGCAGGCGTCCCTCGGAGTAGGGAGCCCAATGCAGGGCTTGATCCCAGGACCTTGTGATCATGAGCTGAGCTGAAGGCAGATGCTTAACAACTGAGCCACCCAGGCGCCCCTCAACCATACACTCTTTAACAAGAGAAACAATTTTACATTTGTCTAATGGATTACCACATAGTCAACGAAATGTGGTCTTTTCAAATAAACTTCCTTGGCAAGATTCCTAATATGTACTGTTAAGATTAAAAATATTTGAGAAGTCTGGCATACACTCACCATTCTTTTTTACCAGTGTCAAGAGTTGGCAAAACATTAGGAAGGTATATGAGGGTCCATCAGAACAAATTAGGAATTCCCTTTTCTCAAATCACAAATGCCCTCCATCCCATTTAAAATCAGTGTTAATGGCAGTATTTAAGACATGTATGTTTTGAGAGACGTCAGAGAGACTTTGCTTTTTAAGTAAAAGATGAACTGGGTACTTTTCAAACCCACTATGAGACAAAAAATACAAAAGCAAAGAACTTTCAATAAAAATGATTTAATCATTATGAAGGTTCTTAACTGACCTCCATTCAACCAACCTGCCAGATTAACAGAAGCTTTCCAGGTCCTTGTAAAATATAGCTGCTTAAAGCCCATGGCATACTGAATGCTGCCCGTTAGTAGGCCACTCTTGAGTCCTCCTATTTCTGCTTCCATGAATGCTATTACCAAAAGTCGGTGTGTTTACTCCCAAACCTATTTATACCAGCTATTATAATTAAACGTTTTAATTCAATATTACATAAACTGATAGTTCTTTTACTCAAGCTGGACACTCTGGAAAGACTCAAAAATTGCTGTAATTAGATACAGACAAGGCAAATATTAAAAACAAGGGTAGACCTAGTAAATAGTAAAACCTAAGGTCCTATTCTTAAGTTGTTTTACGAAGTTTTATTTCCATGTAAAGAAAGTGAAGCTGGAAATTATATCCCATGTATTACACAAGGAAGTCATAATAACGAACTCAAATAAAAGGCAGTAGTCCTAAATTAATATCATCTGTTAATGTCCCACTTCAAGGAACTTTGATTAAGCAACTACCAGTTGCTCTGGTCTCACTACTTGAAGGATTTTACTATAATAATGAACATTATTTCCAAAACATTTGAAAAGTGGCAATGAAAAACTCCCTTCCCCCCTAACAATTCAACATGAAGCAGATGACAAAAATTCCTATAATAGTCTATCATCTCAAAAAACAACCCAGTTACAAACCGGATAAGCAAACTACCATAACAATATAACTTACCTACAGTGGCTCTAATCAAAGGAGAGGAGTCACCAATATTGTTTAAACATTCACTCTTAATAAAGTCTGTCACACCATTTGGGAAGTTCTGAAAATGTGCTTTCACGTTATTCTTCAAAATGAGACCACTCAATGATCTTGTGGGTTCATCTGTAATAAAACAGTATTACTGACTTTTAAAGTAGTTTTCACTTCAAAATATATAAAAGCAGTAACTTTTAAAATACTTATAGTCAAAAATTGATTGCAACATTCCAGTAATTTTGCTATAACCAGGGGGAAAAAAGGTATCATAAATGATTATTGAAAGATTAGCTCCATGATTTGTAGTTCAGAGTTTCTCAACCTTGGTATTATTGACATTTTGGGTCAGATAATTCTTTGCTGGGTGTTGTCCTGTGCATCCCATGATGTTTAGTAGTATCACTGGCCACAGATGCCAGTATCACCCTTCCCAAATTGTGACAACAAAAATGCTTCCAGATAATGTCTGGATTGCTGGAGGGGTGGGGTAAACTGCACCTGGTTGAGAACCACTGACTTAGTTTAAGAGTTAATTTAGTTTATATATGGCCACTGTACTCAAGCTTTATTGGAACCTGATATAAACATCAAATTACAGATCTGAAAGTATTAGTGACTAAAAATACCCTATTAAAAAATTAAGTGGACAAAGAATATATGGGATCACCTTCACATACAAATAACTGACGTTCATTTATATCATGTTTTTCACTTGACTCTGAGCTAAAAAAAAAATAAATTTTAAAAATGATTAAATAAAAAAATAATCTATTTAAAAAAAAAAAAAAAGGGTAAACAGTTTTAAAATTTCCATAAGTTAAAAATAGAATTTACATGAAAAAGTTTAGTCCCTAAATGGGTGTTAACAAATTTTTAAGAAGAAATTTAATACTAGTATAATGTAACTGATGCCTTACCAATTGACATCACCACCAGTATTAGCAACAGTTATTTTCTTCTGAATGCTTATTAGGTACTAAACACTGCTAAGTGCATTCCAAATAGTGTGCTTTTAATCCTCACAACCTCATGAGACAGGAGTTATTACCCCCACTGCACAAATGAAGAAACTGAGGGCTGTGCCAAAGTCACACAAAGCTATTAAGTGGGGAAGCCAAAATATGAACCTCAGGAGTCTGGCTCAAGCCTAGACTTTGATGCATGCTACAGTATCACCCTCCTCACAAAACTGGAGGACATGAAGAGCTGGTGTGGTGAACAGAATATGCTATTACAGCACTACTGTTTTACAAACGCTATTAAAAAAGAATACTCTGAGCTTGTTCTAGGTTGCAGTATGCTCCCATACTCTGATTGGCACTGAGATATTCTAGCGTGACACATACTGAGGGGCAAAAGGAGAGCAAAGTTTCTTTGCACATAAACCCCATTCAGGCCATCACAACAATATCTCTAAAACCTTTTATGTCACCGTTTAAAAACTTCTTTCTGGATTCAATTACAACCCATTCCAATGAATAAATTAAAATGAAACAAAAACAGTTCTAAATTCTCTTGCAAGTTTAGAACTGCCATAAAATAAATGAGTATCTAGATATTTAACTTCTTCAAGCAATAATCCTTTTGTCTAAGTTAGCCTTTAATAATTCAGTCATATAATTTTATCTTAAATGGCATGTATTTGTTTATAAGTCACTACTGTTTTTACAATGCTATAACATAGTCTTAAGTCACAACACAAAGCAGAAATGGTTTAAAATTAAAAAGTATTTTATATTAAAATATTTTTTAGTTAAGGTAACACATATCCTGTCCTAAATCCAAAAAGCCACCAATCAACCATTTACTTTTTTAAAAAAAGTTAAGCCTTTACTCTATTGGACCTCGATTTGCTGTTAGATGGGCTTATCTCTGAGGTCTCTTCCAGATCTAAAATTTTACTCCATATAAAAATTCCGTGTAAACAAATTCACAAGAGAATGGTGAACAGATTATTAAATAAGCATTTTGCGTGTCCTCTGAAATAAATGTTTAAAAAAAAAATGTCATTTATGTTCCTTCACTAATATGATGACCCCAATGCCAATTTTCTTTTAAATAGAAAACTAGATGTTGTAAACTTGTGTCCCAAATAAGACACAAGAAGAAATATTAACTGTTACACAAATGTTTAGCTCTATGTCCTTTGAGAAATGGTGACTAATGAATTGGAGGTAGTTACACCCAACCTCTCTTGCTATTTGAATTCTATGTCTGCTTTTAAAAATACTTCTTATTCAAAAAAATAAAAAAATAAATAAAAATACTTCTTATTCTTATAGTCCCAAAAAGCTTCAAGAAAGTATAATATCCTAACAATCTTTAATATGTGGAATTTAGGATATGCACACTGACATGACAGAGTAGATGGCTTGGTGAAAAATAAGTTTAAAATTTTTTCTTTTTTTAAAGATTTATTTATTTGAGAGAACGAGAATGAGAGAGAGAGTACATGAGAGGGGAGAGGGTCAGAGGGAGAAGCAGGCTCCTCGCTGAGCAGGGAGCCCGATGCGGGACTCGATCCCGGGACTCCAGGATCATGACCTGAGCCGAAGGCAGTCGCTTAACCAACTGAGCCACCCAGGTGCCCAAGTTTAAAATTTTCAAGTAGAACAATAAGTTTACAAAAATTCATTTACTATATACTAAAGTTCTTTTAAAAAACAAGTAACACTGATTCGATTACAAATTAGTATGTGGGAAAAATAAAATTTCTATATTAAGAAACCAAAGTATCAAGTATATTTAAGAAACTAAGAATATTAATTGCTGAATTTAAATATATGCTGAAGGAATTTCTAGTTTCTTAAAACCCAGATTTAGAAAGTTTTAAAGTTTCCACTACATCCCTCAATCACAAATTAAAATCCCTAAAATTAGCTAGAATATTGAAATTAATTAAAAAATCACTGTGCTGTATAAATTATCAAAATCTTAACAAATACAAGATTAAAGAGGGGTGCCTGGGTGGCTCACTCAGTTGAGTGGCTGACACTTCATTTCAGCTCAGGTCATGATCTCAAGGTCCTGGAATCAAGCCCTGGGTGGTCAGCTAGAAGTACGTCTGAGGATTCTCCCTCCCCCTTTCCCGTTGCCCCTCCCCCCACTCGTGCACGTGGCTCTCTCTAAAATAAACGGATAAATCTTAAAAAAAAAAAAAAGATTAGTGAGATTTTACTACACCTTAAGGCCATTAACTCCCTAGAACCTTGAGGATGAACCCTTTCAGAGAGTCTGGTAGTCTAACACAGGCATTATACAGCTGAAAAAAGGAAAACAGGTGAATCAGTGTCAGTGTCTAAGACTTGTCTTCCAACTCCAAGCGCCCTTGTTTTTTTTTTCTTTTTAACTAATTGCTCTATGGCTTCTGAAACATCACTGAACAGGGTATAATATTTTCATTTAGAGGCCAGTTACTCAATAGTATTTCAGTGCCTATTGTGTGTCTGACAATGTTTCAGGAAAGGAATCTTCAATACTCAAATAACTCTATGAAGAACACCTTTCACTACAATATAAGTTCCATGAGGGCAGAGATCCTTATTTTGTTTAGTTTTATTGCCCCTGAGCCTGGAAATTAAGTGGTGCTCAATAAATATTTGTGAAATGAATAAAGTGTACTGGGACGAGTGGTTACTACAAAATGCAAACCTTTGAAATGAGAGTAACTCTCATATTTTAATAGGTCTTGAAGACCTTTCCAAGTTTTTACAAACCTTACTTACCTTCAGATTTTAATTTTGTAAGAACAAAAATCAGGTAGTTGTTAAAATCTGGATATTGATTGAGTTGTTCCAGTTTCTAGAACAAACAGTAGTTAAGGAAACTTCTCAATGTAATCTAAGGAAAAAATTAAGCGTTTAAAATCAAGAATCCCTCTCATGATATTTTTAATCTAGCATTCTTTTCTTAAGAAGAATGAAGTTACCTTATTAAAATCATCAACACACTATTCCAAGCGCACACTAATGGTTATGTTAAATCTCCTAGGTGCTTTATGGCTGAAATATTAAACTTAATACTTTATATCAATTATATTCATTACAACATAAGCCAAGTTCCACCTTCAGAATGCTCAACATAGCAAAAAAACTTTCGAAACAGAATTTTTTATTTATTTGACTTTAAAAACTTAATCAGATGGTATTTAGGTATAAAAATAATGACAAAAATGAAAAGCATTCCAAAGAAATGAAAACAGGTCTTTAAAGATCATTTAGAGAAATTAACTTTATAAAAATGCCACTTACACACAAATCTATATATCAAGTGTAATATTATTACATAAGGTCAGTATGAAATTACTGAATTGCAATAGTTCTACAATTGTCCACACCTCCCCAAGATCTAACATTTCTTGTGACTTAAATTTGCAGGTATTTCATTCTGTTGGCTGTCAACAGTAACATAATGTTCTATTATATCTTTCTTCACGCCCTCTTAACATCTAATATTCTTCTTAATAATACTCCTAATTGTGTTTTATTAGACAAAAATACTCAAATGTTTTTACTGAGATCTAAAATTTTTTTTATTTAAACCCATGGTACAAGCTCTAGGTACATTGTATTAGCTATTTATTTCATACTATAATACCCTCAATAGTTAGTGGTCAGAACGTTAAATAAACTAGCAAAAGACATTCTCTAGAAAATTTCCCAAGTCTACTTTCTTTGACCAAGAAAAAAACACTGGTTTCTTTCTTTACTAAATAGCCAATATTAACAAGCTGATGTGCTAATTTTTCATAAAAACTTCCTTGTAAGATTTACTCTCTTAGAACTTGGGCGATCTACCCATATTACTAATAGTCTTGCAAAAGGTGCTCAAGCCTATACAAAAACAACAATAAAATAAATGCTTCCTAAGTACACACAAAAGAACAAAGTCATCCATCATTAGGCACTTTGAAAATATAAAGCAACGTGTATTTTTATTCATCTACTGAAATTTAATTTGTTCCTTATGCAGAAGGCATACTATGCTCCAGGCCCACAGAATAAACTACAATTGTCAGCCCAAGCACAGTACCGGACTTATAAAAAGTATTTAATAAATACGTACCAAAACAGAAAATAATGATATATAGTGCTATAGAAAAAATTACAAGGTGGTTATGGGCTTGGCTAACTTAAGAAATAACTGTCATACAATTACCTGTAATTCATTAAATATCAACTTCTATCATTCCTACAGCCATGACAACACAAATTAAGACTGGGCTACAGCAAGGCTTCCGATACAAGGTCCAACACACCCCAAAGCTACCATTCTTACCTCAGTATTAGCAGCATTATACCCTCCGGTTTTAAATTAGTATATTAACTAAGAAGCTATATACTTCCTCACCTATTTAAAGTTTTAACTTACAGCAATGCAGTACTTCTTCGACTTCAAAACTTATCTACCAGAGTTTCTCACGGAATTGTATAGAATTTTACCTTTACAGTGTATTACATTCAAATAAGCCTAAACTACACTAAAGAGCTTACTTACCAAATTCTATAGTTTTGCTGTTGACTAACAATAAAAATAAAATTGTTTCTGCAAAAACAGACTTTTGTTTTTTTTTTTAAAGAATTCTTTAGCCTCAAAGGAACAGACTAAATAAGCTAATGAAAAAGCTTATTTATGACTGGGTGAATCCATCTCCTTTATCGTATCCAGTAAGAGCTCTTTCATTTGTCCACCGTTCAGGGAACCACAGACAGCACACAAGGCAGAGATTTTGCTGCTGCTTTTAACCTTTTCGGGCTCTAAAACCGTAGCAATATGACCGCTACCCCAGGAAACTCGGTAAACACGGAGTAACTGAGCAGTCAGCCTTTGAGCCAAAAGGACTATTTCACTAGGGAGCCAGGAAGCTTGCAACAGGTGTGAGCAAGAGCAGCTCCGGGGTGAGACCTGAGACCCCCCCCCCCCCCCCCACTTACAGGTTTCCAGCACTTTTAAGGCAGGGGCCTCGAAGAAACCCCAGGCCCAACGCGGCGGCAGTTTAAACCCCGCGCCAGCTCCACCCCATTTCTGGCGACGCTCGGCCGGGTCTCGCACACAGCGCCCTCCACCCGGACTCTCGCTCGGCCCACCGCCCCCTCGGCGCGGGGCGCATTGTCTGGGGCCGGGGTCCGCGCCGCCCCCGGGCCGCGCCCGCCCGCGCAGCTCTCCACCCCAAGGGCAGGTTAGCGGTGGGCGGGCGGGGACGTGGCGGCTCGGCTGGAGCACATGTCGCGATCGCGGGCGGCGGCCGGGAGCCCCCGCCTCCCGCGGGCCGGAAGCCGGCAGCAGCACCCCGGACCGGGCTCGAGGGCCGCGTGCGCGAGGCGCCGGGCAGGAGCTGCGGCGGCGGGCGGGCGGGCCTCTCCCCGCGGGCGGGCGGGCGGAGGGCGGAGGGATCCGGGGAGCGGGAGGAGGGGGAGGGGCGGCAGGAGCTACCCAGCCGCCGGGAACGGGCCCCGCGCGGGGCGAGCTGCGCGGGCGGCGGCAAGGCCTCGGAAAGGATACTTGTTGCACGGTTCTCTGGATGGTGGTGTCTGGGGACTGGGACTCCTTCAGCAGCTGCAGGATTTGCTGAAGCCCTTGCTCGTCAGGTTTCCACTCATACTCCATCTTGGTTTGCTGCAAATAAAGCCAGACACAGGAAGAGACGGAGCAAATGTTACTCCCCGTGCACAGGCCCGAGGGCTTCCCGCGCCGAGCAACCCCCCTTTCCCCGCCAGAACGACCCCTTTACTCCCCAGACGCCTCGGACCTGCTTGGGGTGCCCCGAAAGAAGTCTCGGACGGCGAAACCCGGGGGAACTGATCCTAGCAGCTCGGCCGCCAACGTCTGGTGCTGCTGCTGCCGCCGCGGCCGCCGAGCGCAAGGAGCCGACCAGACTGAGTCACCGCGAATTTGCAATCTGGCCCCTAGATCCGCTCACGGGAGCCCCCTGGGTCCTAGTGCCACGCAGTTTTCTCCAACCCAACTGGAGTTCTGTCCAGATTATTACTGATTTTAAGGACTCATCAGAAGTCGAGTTCTTATCGAAACCCTACGAAACACCTGAAGAGGTCTGATTTTGGGTATCAGTCATTTTAAGTTAACATAGTGAATAATGAAAAATGACTGGAATAGGGAAAAAAGCCTGATAATTCCTGACAACTCAATACTTAGAAAAAATTAAAAAGTTTACATTTCAACTTGATATACATAGCACTAATATTTGGTCTAAAATATTAAATTTGTATTGTAATCACAACCCACACCTCGATAAACAATGTTGCATTTACATGTGCAGAACGTGATTGAAAAAACTGCATTCTTTTATGAACTTCTAAACTCAAGTGAAATAAATTCCATCTGAAATAACCACATTTCACAATTAAGGACTTTGGGGTGAAGGAAAAACAAGAAAACGTAATTTTATAAGTGGATCGTATTTAATTCCATTAAAGTGTTCTCACATACATTTTCTCATTTCATTCTCAAGCCAACCTGGGGAGGTATTATTAGCTCCCATGTGCCAACTATGGCTCAAAAAGATCTGAGCAAATTACCACGGTTAATTAGTGAAGACTGGGGGGAGTATAGGTTTCTTAAGCTACTAAGAGTTGCATCTGCTACAATCAGTTGAAACTATTATATCAATGACAGTTTCATTAAAACTAATGCTTAAACAAAAACAAAACTTAAGAATTGTAAAAACCAAACGGTATGATGAAAGAATATTGCATATGGCTTTATTACTACATGAGAGTTTGACAGATGAAATTAGTCCCTTCCTAGTAGGAGTCTCTTCCTAGTAGGAGTCCCTTCCCAGCAGGGGTTAAAATTACCTGACCTTAGGGCATGTCTCTAGTTAGCATTGTTTTTTCTTTCTTTCCTTTTTTATCTTTTAAACCTTTCCTCTCTCCTTCACCCTTATTTTCTGGTTAATATCTTGTAATGCGGCTTTGTTCACCCCACCACCTACAAACTTCTAAACTACCCAAAGTGAAAGCCCAAAAACAAAAACAATAATCATCTAGACATGGTATCTGTTAATACTGTTTTTATTCCAGTCCTCACTCTGTGTGCTTATATGTACATTATATTTTATAATTGAATTGTCCTGTTTTTTGCCCACCTTCATATATCATTAACTATTTACTGAAAGTATTTTTTTAAAAACATAATCATATTCCCTTGTATTGCTGACATAATTTTAATACACTTTGATATATACACAACCTATATAAATCAAAGGCATACAACTAAATGGATTATTACAAACTGAAGATGCCTGTGTTACCAATGCCCATATCAAAATACAGATCATTACCAGTGCCAAGGTCTCCACTGTACCCATTTCTCAGTCATCCAAAGTAATCCCTATTATTAATTTCTATCATTATAGATCTCTCCTCCTTCCCTCTT